AAACCAGCCGATTGTCTTTCCGCTCTCTCTCTATTTGTTAGTGTCTATTTTAAACCATCTTCTCACTCACCCAAAGCAAAATCTGGATTATACGGCCTTCGCGCTGAAAACATCACTGAACGAGGATCTACAGAATGTTCCAGACCAAGTATGTGGCCAATTTCATGAACAGCAGTCTAGAACGCTTTCAAAAATGTTAAAGCTAAACTCAGCTTCAGATCTACCTGATACAGGTTCACCCCGGTTGGCGAATTTAAGCTCCAGTCCTCATCGGCATCAAAGTGCAAACGCCCATCCCGAGGATAGAAAGCATGCGCGACGATGCCATCTGAAATGCAAATAGTGAGTGAAATAGGGTGATTTCAATCAAAGAATGTGAAGCAAAGATCCACAAAAAGTAATAATTATATAGGAGGTTTGCCGATATAAATATTCATATCTTAACGAAATTTAGGAACGTTATAATTTTTCAAAGTTGAACCTTAGCTTCTTTAGAATTTTCCAAAACAGTCTACCCTTCAATTCCACATTCGTTGAATCTTAAGAAGTGCATGTGAAAAATTTCTCCAACAGTACAACTCATACTGCCTCGAAGTAATCTGAGCACCTTGAAGATTCTTCTGCTTAGCTTCACATTCACAAAAGGCTTCCATTAATTTTCCCATTTGTGGGATATATTGGCAAGAGAGTAAGTCACTTCTTTCAATCTTTGATATGTTCCCATTACCAAAGAGAACCTAGGCTTTTGGGAAGTTGTCAGTTTGGAATTCGATAACGATCGACTCTCACCTTAAGCAAACTAACCCCTTTTTTGATAAGTGTATTGCGTAAGAATAGTCAGACTTATACTATTGAATGCGCTGGGTTTTACAATGATTTTCTAGACGGAAATAAGGCGGAGATACAAACAGTATTCCAAGCAAAAAATATCGTACATCATTCTATGAGATAGTCTGGTTCACAAAAGCTACATGTCCCTTTCGCCGATATCTAAATCCAGTTGAAAATGTGGAGAGCGCTCGCTGCTAATGCGACTGCTTTGGAGATAAAAATGAGAGGGTTTCGTGAAATAGATTGGCTGATATGTGGGTCCGGGCAGTGTGTGCAAAACTTCATAGTACTGCAAAAATTGTCCTATCACTATATTATGGTTTACTACTATTGCATAATACAAATGTTTTACTTAGAAGTGAAACTACTTATTTTACTTCATTTTGATCTATTAAACACACATCTTCTGAACGTTTCTTCATCTGAGACGAGTATGAGTGACGCAAAATATGCGAGTATAGTAGAAGCAATTTGCTTGAAGTGTAAACTAGAATTTGATGAAACAACTACTTTGGTTCTGAGTCCACTTTTCATCGCCATTCCGATTTCACATATAATTATATTAAGCTGCAGAAAACATTTCAGGGACAAATTTTTGAAGCAGTACAATCGGCAACATATTGCTATTTGTTGTCATAGATATGACGTCTCTGAATACAAATTGCTCTAAGCTGTTTCTTTCCCCGCAATTTGTTTTTATCAGACGTTTCGGATTGTCATTCATTCTAACAGGAAGAGCCGAGCATGAATTTTTCCAAACCTCAAACGGAGCGCAATGGTAGGAGAAACTGGTACATGTAAACTTAGTAGTGACCTCTACAACGAAAAATTTGGCAAGATACCAAAATAAAAGAAATAATTGGCGTCCTCATTTTGAAAATAGGGAGCAAATTAGATAAACTCTTATCCACACACATTCTCCTTGAACGTTTGCGAATATGTAAATTAAGTTAAGCAAGTGCCTCTTAGTGAACTCATTGGAATTGTCACTTTCAATTCTAATAGCATTCAACCAACTGTATTATATGACATTTAGAAGACCTTTACATATCTGATTGTATTTTCATTTTTTAAAGAATTGGAACGAAAGAAATGTCAAAAGTTAGATAAAGTAAAAGGTAGAAAATGTTAAAATCTAGACATCAATGTTTTCACAATCTGATCAAGTGAATCTACCTTTCAAAGGGATCTTACAGAAAATAAGAAGCTGTTGCGAGTTTAATGGATCCAGCGATAAATCCGAGTTTTCTAAAGAGCAATTTTGACAAAATTCAAGGCTCAAGAGTGCATCCTTGGTAAGGTAGCAGCCCGTAGTA